ATTGTTAATTGTTGCGCAATCGAAAACATGAACTGAACCTTGCAGGATCTATGGTAGATTTACATCGCCACATGATGAAACAATCAAATTTAAGTTTAGGTCTTGAAGGGTAGGCGGGAAGGCACATTGGGCCCAAATCATGAATTCTCAAAATCTCTGATCAAGAATTTAAAGACAGTAGGCGGCATTCGGACGACAAAAGAGCTTGTTTACAGCCGCAAAAGGAAATGATAGGATTGCGTTAATCCCACGAATCACCACCTAATCCGTGTAACTCATAGGCGTACCTCCTTACCAGTTTTCAAACACTAACTGGTTTGAATATTGAGCCGTACCCATGGAGGTGACATGCGTTTGGGTTTAGCTGACCAACCCAGAAATAGGATTCGGGCTACTGCCGCAAAAGTGCACCGTTTATCATAATTGGACACTCTAAACCACTCTCTCATGTATTTTGTGGGAATCTTGGTTGAAAGTTGACAAAGTGAATTTCATGGGAGGTTGTTGGAGGTGCCAGTTTGCATGTATGTCGTGACCAGCCATATAGGCAGAGCTACGTACAGTGTGCACGCAACATGGCAATGAAGGCTAAGCTGTAAGAGGCGCACAAAGCTGTTGTAAAACGTAGGAAGCGATAAGTTAAAAAACAGACTTTGAGTAGGGTTGGAGAAAGCGAACGGGAGGTTGTAATAATTGCAACTTCAAGCACAACATACTACGTGAAATGTGGGATATTTTGGCCAGTTATAGGTTCAGTCTGTTGAAATAGGACGGTACTGATGTAAAATTCCATAATGATGTTCCGGAGACCGTCTGGTGGCACGGAAAACCCTGAATGAGATTCTGTTTCAAATAACCAGGTGGAACTAACTTCGGGACAAAAGGGCAGAAAAATCGTCGATTGGATTGTGAGTTTTGTTCAGTCCCCATCTGTACCATCAGGGTCTGCGCCCAACCCTTGCCCATCTGTACACCGTCAGCCACCATATGGCATATACGGCAACCAGAATAATATTCAAGCTAACGAGGTCATTTGACATCCTCTGGGAGCAGACGAGAATTTGACTTGTCAGATATTGATTCCCATTATTTCTTTAAGTAACTTAACATACATATAAAATCCATGAAAAGAAACGAAGATGGTGAACAAAGCCTTTTTTCTTGGCCAACAAGCCACAGATTTATATAGTATCAGAAGTCACGTACAGAAGTTGCATGAAAAGTGCGGGTACAAAAACTTTATTGAAAGAGAAGAAGAAGAGAAGGGGAGGGTAAACGGAAGGCACACGGGTCAATGGGCCAGTTCAGTTACTTAAAGAAATAATGGGAATCAATATCTGACAAGTCAAATTCCCGTCTGCTCCCAGAGGATGCCGAATGTCCCCGTTAGCTCGAATAATATTCTGGTCGTTGTATGTGCCAGATGGTGGTTGACAGTGTACAGATGGGCAGGGGTTGGGCGCAAACCCTGATGGTACAGATGGGGGCTGAACAAAACTCACAATCCAATCGACGATTTTTCCGCCCTTTTGTCCTGAAGTCAGTTCCACCTGGTTATTTGAATGGCCGTGGCACAATAAATTCTACGAAACGGAATGTCATTCAGGGTTCTCTGTGCCACCAAACGGTCTCTGGAACATCATTAGGTAATTTTTGTATCAGTACCATCCTATTCCACCAGACTGAGCCTATAGCTGGTCAACGTGCCCCACATTTCACTTAATATGTTTAATTTATAACGCATGGGAAACGCTTGAAATCTAATGCGTCTACACTATCATCCCGCAAGCTGTCCTGAACAGCGTCAACGTGCAACTAAATTACGAAGACAGGTATACGTTGAGTCGGTGCTTAGTATGTTCTCACGCAAATTCTTGGCTCGCTAACCAGTGTACGCTGCGCGTTATAACGTTTTCTTGTTTTGGAACCTGTGCATATACTATGCACATAAGCTGATGGGTCATGTCCTTAGACCTTCAGTAATTTCACTTGTTTCGTTGGGCCCATCATAAAACATCCTGTTAAGCGATTTGTCTTGATAGTAGCTGGAGCAGTAGGGCACTGCTCGTAGGTTTTCTGGCTCGTGCGTGTTCAAAGGATGCCGGTCTGGAACTTATAAGACGCATTCCTTAGAGCGTGCTTATGGCTACATAACGTTTGTTGGGGTTAAGTGACCCGTCTCGACGAGAATAAATACCAAGCATCCAAAAACTACATTTGAAATATGTTTTTTTCCAAATCGAGAACCGTACTGGAGACCAAAAGGAGATATGTCTCCTTTTGACATTGTGACAATGGTCGCGTAAGCATCACTAATATCATTACACACCAATGTGTCATAAGTAATTTGATAGTATATTTACTTAAGCATGGGTAATTTAATACACATGGTACACCAATGAATATAAGCGTGTTTGCAACGATGTGTGTGTGTGTAAAAACATCTTACGAAGCGGCTAGAAAAGCAGCTAAGGAAAAATGCCTGGTGCCAAATTTCAGTGGCAAACCAAATTCAGCGCAATGGTTTGTAGTTAAAATAACGCGGTATATGTAGTGTGGACAATTCGTAGAGGATCTGACTATGTTATCCGGAAGAAGTATTGAAGGGAATGAGCCAAATTGACAAGGCGTCAAACACAGTTGACAAGATTAGAGTGCAAACGAGTTTCGCAGGCAGAATTTCAATTATCTCCATAAGAACGGCCTTCACTATCCCAGTGTGCACAGGCAACAAAAGCTGTTCTACAAAGAAACTCGGAAACTGAAATGTTTTTTACTGGGACAGTATGGCATATCGAGGACATCCATTACATGCTTTCACAACCATACCGCCCCTATTTCACAGACTGACAGACCTTCAAACGTTTATTATTCTGCCTGGAAGCCACAGATTTTCGCATAGCATGGCACGTTAGCAACCAAAATTCACTACCGTATTTCTCATGATATGTCACTGTATGTGACACCAGAATTTGAATGGTAAAGTTTTGCAACCCAGTGATTACTGGTTTGCAAGACCGAAAGGAACTGTCAATCTTTGAAGGTCTGAATGCGTCAGCAACATTTGGACTTTAGTATAGCCAGGTGCCACAGGATGTCCTTCAGCAATCAGACCTGGATCAGGTTTAATCCCCAATCGGCCGATAGGTCGCAACAAATTTTGGCAGATATGGTCGTTGTAAGATGGCCTGCTGCTTGCTCACTTAGTAAGAAATGAGCCAGGTTTGTTTCCCACGGAAATAAATGGATTGGTTCTGATCGAAGTACCAGCATTTGTTCCGTTTGACGATATTGACGGACACCAAAGGTTCCTACCTACTCAAATCTATTTTGGTGACTATCCTAAGCTTCATTTTTATTGAAGCGACTAAAAAGAGCGCGCCACCTGCTTCTGTAGTGGAAAGAGGATCTGGAAACGAGACCATAGGCCTAAACCTTAAAAGGAAGTAGTTGAAATGCTGGTTCTGCGTTTGATATGGAACTTTCTCTAAGACAGAAACTTATCAATGCATACATGACCAAGAAATTCGAGAACATGGATGCTTTACTGATAAAGCTTCCAAGCACTTTGTAAACTGCGCACGATAGCCCTTTATTTTACTCACCGCTATCACTGCTTGCACTTAACTATTCATCTCTAATCGACGTGCTAATCATTTACCCGCAGGTTAAGGGCGGAGTGAAAATTCACAGAATCGACAGACCGCTCTGCCAAGCGCAGTCAAAGGATAGAACCGCTGGAAACGGTAGTTTATCGTTTGCGGTCACTGCCGGTACTGTTTAACCAGTGTCTTGGGGTGCTCTTTTCCAATAGCGCGTTTGTGACGGTAGAAGTTCCTTGACTTTGCAAAGTGCAGATCTGAACTAGTCGCGGTTTTTCGAATCCGTGGTGGTGTGTATAGAGTTCTGATGACGAGCGACAGAGGACCAAATCAGCAGTGTTACTGGAACCCGAATTTGGAGGGCGTACATCCATAAAATTTGCCGGACCAAGCTAGCGGAAGGTAAAAGAAGGGTCATTTGCAACATGAAATGATTCCAGTGGCCTGTAATGACTCTGTTGCAGAAGATAGACTCAAAAGAATCTAGCTGAATTTCTCGTTTTTGAAAATCCCCCGGTGTTCCATTTGGTACGATATTCAAGATATCTCACTACATTTTCTAGACGCAGCACACTACTCATTAGGTTGTTGAAAACTATGTGACAACCCATGAGCGGTTTCGTTTTTATCGAAACCCATCGGGTAGGCGCAGCCTCCGAGTTTCCATCAGTCTCAGGTGCTACTTGAACCCGAACTGGACGAAATACGCCAGTTTGCTTACGAATTCGGCTTTGACGGGCGTCTTCAATGAATCCAACTTAATCTCTCGTTTATGATGGCCTCCTTCAAATCTATTCAGTCTCTTCCTATCAATTTCTTTCACAGGTTTGCGGTGTCGCTGCAAGAATTTTTCGGTTCCTTAGATATGTCTCGGACTCCAGCCCGCTATCCACAACCACGTTAAGTCTGTTGGTTAGTAGAATACTCTAAGTTTTTTGGATTTCAACCCTCAATGTTCTTATTGATTGTAGATGCAAAACGTTAGCGCCTGACAAGTTTTGCTTGCGACAAGCTAAACAAAACAAAAATGGAGACTAGCAGAATCGGATTTTGCCAATTAGTAATGAAAATTCCCGACTATATGCTGCGTAGAACTCCAACTGGCCGATAACCTGGGTGGACGCGCCACCACCATCTCGTCAGAGCACAGTGGAGGCGCTTGAATTATCACGCATGAACAAATGATGAAGTTGGTTGAAGCAAAGCCTCGGACGATGACCCGTAGCTATCAGGTAGATCGATGGATCCAGCTGTCAATATTCCACACCGTGTGGCATCGTGGAAGCTTGAAGCCCGGTGCACAATTTGACTACTGGTGAGTAGTCGCGAAATTTTCCAGTCAGTCAATACACCGTCACCTTTATTATTATTATCATTATCATTATTACTGATACTATTATGGAAACCAAGACGAGCTGGACTAACTGGAAAGTCCATGGTTCGAACCCGACCTCTGCCTGTCGATTTCTTCTGTCTAGGCTTGGGCGATCTGGCAATATCCCAGCCCTCGTGCCTCCTTCGTATGGCACGGCAGCTGGGCACCGAAAGGGTGTGACAACCGAGTGACCATTATTAGTATTATTTATTATGGAAACCGCTAACGAACAGTAATTCGTTACAGGCTACAAAAGATCCCGATAACCAATCCATATAGTTTTTTCTGAAGACAACGCAACCTCCTTCTGGTGACGGGGAAGCTGTAACACTCGAGTTCACTACACTTTTGGTAGGCTTGATGGGATTAAGCTGATACGTGCATTTTTTGTTCTCAGTCCGCCGTTCATAAAGTCGGAGTCTTGAGCCGCTCTCAAGGACAAACTGTCCCCTGTCACTTCTGGTCCGGTAGGACCGAAAGCCAAAGGAAACCGAGGTGAACAGATGTGAATAAACGAAGTCCGAGACCTCATTGGGATTTGTCTGTTCCACAACATTTTTTTGGGGGGATCAAATTTTGTTCTTTTCTCAGTAGACAAATTTGCATCAGCGCCAGACGACTTTCTGTTGCAAGCTTCGATTAATCCGGGTAATAAATAGCAAAGCAGGAAAAGGAGTTTTACCTGAGAATGGAGGATTATCTATAAAGGGAAATAGAGTAACTCGCTAACATTGTCGTCGGCCTTTTTTGGATGTCACATAGTGTTTGGGTGCGAAAAAGGCGGATATGGTAACACATCGACTACCAAAAATGGTTGAGTTTGGACTTAAAAATGACCAGAAATGATTCCATTAGGGCACCAGTCAACAACGGATGTACGGGTCTTCGGCAAGTGATTCCAGAGCATTCATTCTCGGATCGGTGATAGGCCTCAAATGAAAAATTTTGGGTACTTTTCTTTGATGGAAAAAATACCTTAGGACCCAAGAAACCAGTGAGCATTGGGAAATTGAAAGTTCAACCCGAATGTTTTCTCCGAGACTTCGCTGACCCAGTGGTATGAGTGAGAATAGAGACGGGAAATAAAACGCTGATGGTATTGTCATTCAGAGATTCTGAGCGGTGCTTTGCCTCTCTTATGATTGCACCATGAAAAGATTTTGTGGTTTGAAGGATACTATAAACACAAGAAACTTTCACTGACACCCTCCACATTGAACTGATCCTGTCTTCAGTGCTAGGATGTGAATAGAACACAAAACGTCCTTCTAATAACTTGATATGCAGGGCGAGTTTTATCAAGAATCTGCTTCTCCTGTTTGAAATTCGGCCAGAGCAGAATTGTGCACTTTTATAGACTCTGGAAATATTAGGCCGGCTTGTTCAGTTAACGGGCCAAAAAAGAAACAATCCATGATAGATGTGAGACCTACAAAACTGTCGAAAAACGGTGATCAACTACCTTACCAAAAGCTTGCTACTTAAAACACCCTATGCATATAAATATGGGCATTCAAGTGTGTGGTAAAGTAAGGTAATCACAAGGGTCAACGGAAATGTGGTAAAAACTATCTGTTTGATTTACCAAGAGTAAAAAATTTACGAATCGTTACTGAGGCCGACATTAGACCGACATCAACCGACATCTAGATTACTTGTGGAAGCTAGTTTAGCTGTGCTACTTAATTGGAAGCTTTTCCGTTGCTTTCCCAAGGTATTCTAATTGCAGGCTTTGTTGAACATGTGTAACTGTCCTTGACAGATGCACAACCAGGAGGATAAATAACTTTCAGCTGATTACAACAGAAAATTGAACACTTGCACCCATTGGTCAATATGGCTTTTAAGATCGATAATGCAGATGGCTGGATTTCGATCTACAATGTCGAAATCTGGCTAAGTTGTGGCCTTATCCAGTACGCTGAATCAGGGCGATTCGCAGCTGAACCAAACGAATGAAGGCTTCGGTTAAAGCACCTTGGTATGCTCAAGAGTACAGATATTCTGACGTGATCAGTTTCGCAGTTGGCTTTCAACAAAGTTGGCAGGCTTGGTTAACTACCTGATACCTGCTCAAATCACCAGTTATGAACAACAAAAGTGCTTTCTCCATCCCGTAGCACACATACTCCTGCTCCGTTGTCTCTCCTGGTCGAAGTGTACGTATAATATTTGGTCTACATCCGTAGGCCAACTGATTCTACACTGTGATTGACGTCTCGTCACCGAGTCCAGGCCTATCGCCTGAGACAACTTTGCACAATCCTACTAAAAAGGTTATCCCGCCCTTGGGTTCCGTTCAGACTACTCACCGACAGCTGCCGCATCGTATCCATTAAGTTAATATTTTTTTAATACTAATAAGGTGATTCAATCACCTCCAAGTGTTCTAAAGATGTTCACGAGGATCAAACTTTTCTGAATCGGAGAGTGAGCTTAAGATTATCGTGAAGACCCCTTAACAACGGACATCCGTAATGAAGATCACGAGACGACTGGTTCCGAGCCGAAAAAAGCTTCCAAACCAAATGTTTGCATTTTCAATTTTACTTGTTCAGTTGCTTCATGTTTTTGAGTCGTGGTAATGGAAAATAAAATAAAACAACACGTTTATTGTATGGAAGCAACGTAAATCGATGCGGTTAAGTTAGTCGGATTTATACATTGAGCCCCCAGAACGGTATTTTTGTCCAAAAAACGAGAGACATTTTTTGATTCAATTTACTCGTTCAACTAGCATGTGCTTGCGAAGTAACGCTTTATTCTCTCTGGAATTGAACCAAAGGAGATGAACTCTTTCTCTCTAAAGATCACACACTGCTGTACCAGGTTGTAAAAAGATGCACGAGCAAATTCAAAGCCTTCTGAGAATAATCCTCCAATCAGAATATTCCACACTCTTCGACCGCTTTCTCATGGTGAAAATATAGTGTAACTCACACCTAATACTTCCAATTTTTTTCAAAAAAACGTTAGTTTTGGTGCCTTGAAGTAACCTGATTGAGTTACTTCTAAATAACACTGTAAGCTAATTCTGCAGTTTTCATCTGCTTTTCCGTGTTTTTTAAAGGTCCCAGTTAGAATGCCTAATCATATTCAATTTTATGTTACTATAAGCGAAATCTAAGATTGGTACCAACTGGTGGCGAGAAACTAACCCGAGAATCAGTCTCCGCCCAAGATTAGTCACAGTGTAACGGTGATACTACTGATTGGAGTGGCATGCTAGTAGTATGTTTTCTTCTTGTAAATTCCTTGAAAAGGGAAATCTGTTGCGGATTTGTGGAGTTGTTTTGTAGTATTTGCTTGAACTTGATCAACACTCAATGAATATCCAGGAAAGTTCAGGAAGACTCATTTAAGAAAAGATGGATGTTCAATCTTTGTAATTAAAATGAGAGTAATTAAAATGAGAGTTTTGCTTTCCTGTCCAATAGTCTGTAAATGGTCAGCTGGCATTTTCTAATGATTAGCGCGGCAGCGAAAGCCTTTTACCTTTCAACAGTGTCATTGCCGACAGTTCGCAACACCGGCTGATAACAAAGGTTTTGAATGAAATCAGTCATGAGATGGCTACATAAACCAGTCAAACTGAGTGTCGTAAAATTCCCGTGCACTTCTGACTAGAGCCGGCGTGGTTCCGCTTGCACGCAGCTGAAAGCCCCACAGAACCAAGCGTTTAACATATCCCAGTGAGAAGTAAGCCGTCATTTCTTAGCTGACCAAATTCGTTTGTGTGGGCTGTTTTGGGTGACAACCTTCTGTAATACGATAATCCAATATTTTTAATTCTGTTGTTGTTTAAAGTTTCCGATTTCTTGTTCTTAAAAGTGTCTCCACTCACTTTCTACTCTTCACCGTTGCGTTCAAGCATCATCGCTGTTTGGTGTATTGTGGCCAGTACTAATGTCCTCTCCGCTAGCACGCAAAATTTGTCTGTTAGAATCAGTAATGTTATATGTTCCTCAACCGCTAAATACAACGTGTCTACAAACGTTCGGAAGCGGGGGTCAGAGGAGTCGCCGTGAAGAAGAGTAACTCTGGCCGAATGTTTTTATTCGCAATTTGGAGGTCACTTCAATACTCGCCAGTAGTATCAATAGGGGCGAAAATTTGATCAGCTAGTTTATCCAGGTTTTGAGCAGTTTACAAATCATTCATGTATTCGCTCGGAGCGTTACACGCTTAAACTTGTTCGCTGTACCTGATGCACGTGACTTCCAGTATATCGTCCAGCAGGTCAAGGACCTGACGGAAGTTGCGGGGACAGAATCACTCCGCCCCCCGAGACAAAACCATGAAATCTCTACAGACGGGGGTATAGTCCTTTCAAGTATGAGAAATCCTACGAAAACCCGGTAGGGAAGGATCGTTACGAATCCTTCTGTAGAGTGATTTGCTTTGGAATATCCCTTTTGACAGATTACTTTGTTATAACTTTTGATCGTATTCAAACTATGTTCACTTTTTTACAGTACCTCAAATATATCATCTCAAACATAGTAACAAATTCAGGAAGGTTCGGCAGTGCAGCTCAGCTTATTTACGAATAAAACGTATTAGAATACTTTTGGGGGTGAATCTTATCCCACGATATATGAGCAATGGTGAAATTCTCGAAACAGTTGGGGATGCCTTCTTAACCAGGGCAAAGAGTATCAGGCATCATCGCAATAGGGGACGAGAATTTACTGACCTGAAGGTCCGTGGTTCGAACCCGACCTCTGTCTTTCGACTTCCCCTGTACAGGCTTCGGCAACCCGGCAGAATTCCAGCCCTCGTGCCTCCTTCGTGTGGCATTGGAGCTCGATACCGAAAGGGTGTTACAGCTGAACGAATATGATTACTATCATCCCAATAGGTGACAAATCACTTGTTGGAGCGCTGCATCCCCAAAATGAAGGAGATTCTGCAGTTCATGTCACCCGACAGTTTTGTCCGCCTTGTAAACTAGAAGTGCGGGACTAGGTCACAAAACAGCTATTGATGAAATACGTGTCAGTGTCTATGCTTCACCAGCATTAGAAGCAAACATGTGGTGAACAAAGTGTACCTCAGTTATATGGAGCCGTAGCAAATATCTTACAACTTCCACTTGTTGGATCAAAGCATCTTTTACTATTCCTTAACATTCTGTTAGTTCGATGCGACTGCATGCTTGAGAGAACTGGAAATGGTGTAATTAAATAATACTCACGCGGATTTTAGGCCGGCGACAATTTCCAGGCTATTGGTCTTGAAAAGTTTTTCATGGGAAAAACACGTGACCACAAGTATCACCATATACAGACGTGTCAGGTTGGCATATACGCAGTAATCTTGGTTAAATGAATGCTTATCTGCAAGGTTGTCATTCGTTGTCACTTGTTCTTTTTGAATAGTACTCTTCAAAGGTTTTCTACTGCAGTGAGAATCAGACCACGCCGAAAGGTCTTTTAAAAAGGCCACTGTCTATCCCATTCCAAATCCGTTTTACGCATGCTCTTCCATAAGTTCATTCATGTGGAAAGGAGACCTTCTGATGCGAGTTAAGCTTTGTTAGGTTTTTGCTCGTGTACACTTCTGGTGAACCGTTTCTGCATGTTATGTTGCAAGGCGGGCGGTGAATTAACCCAATTCGACCCAGAATAAACAATCACTCCACTCGAAATATGTATACACATGTCTGTTGAAAAAGTGTGCCGAATGCATAGCAGTCCAGACAGTGATATTATTTCGGTTTTTTTTATCTGCCCAATACTTTTGAGCCATTAATATGCAAATGAGGGAAGAAAATATTCCGTCAAGTTCGTGAACTTTATTTGCCAGGAAGTCCCCACAATAAAGACTAGTCAGCAACCAGTTACAGCATATCTATAATTTTATGTAATATATAACAATAATAGTAGTGTGTTATACCTAACTACCCACCCTGTTGTTCACAATCTGAAAGTGGGTGGTATATCCATTAAAGTTATTCTTGAAAACCAGAAGTTCGAACCTCTTTAGAGATTCATGCGTGCACTGCTAATGAGTCCAGACAAGGGCAAAACAGGCAAAAAATGCTTGATAGCCTCTCAGCATAGTTTGACTTCACGTGCCATTCCTCAAATCTCTTCATTACCTCGTCTCAAGTAAAACATAAGGTTGACGGAAACCCGGGGAATGCGTCTATCTGATGAGCCCCAAGAAGGGCAAAACCGGTCGTGGGCTGTCGACGGATTTTCAGCAACCTTATGAGTAGCACATCACAAAGATTAATTTAGATGCTCAGTGAAGCCTTATTAATCAGAACGGAACAAACGTTTGTGCACACTCAGAAATTTCGGAGTCATACCGTTTGTTCTTCAGCAAATGGTTTTATCACTTCTCTGCCTCAAATGATTCAACGTGTTTTATTTGGTGTGTTGCAATGCTGTCCACGCACAAACATGTTTCACGTTGATGCTCAGTGAAGGAAACTGAAATGTCAACATCTGATTACTTTAGACTTGTTGCCAGTTTTATCAAGCAAACTCATCATAGAGAGCTTACCAGTATATTGAGTCAAGGGGCATGTCCACTTCGACTCACCCATCAGATTTGTCACCATTGACCAAAACAGTTACAAGAACTAACTGTGATAATATGCAAAATGAACGAAGCATAAGAAATGATGCGGTCTCCAGCTGCACAATAGGTATTTTGTGCGATATCATGAGCCACAACAAGCGAGTCGTAACGAGAATCAGCACTTCAGAAGCGAGAGTTCTACTTGGTATGTCTTCGTCAGAGCGCACGCAGTGGTTTTCTTGTAATGAGGTTCCCTAGAGAGGCTGCAATTTTTGAAGTGATAACAAGAATTTGCACCAAAAAATCGTCCCTCTTCTATAAAGAGCAGATTTATTTGAAGAACATCATAATCGAAAGATTCTGCTACGTTTCACTTTAGTCACCCATAAAAATTAACTCGATATGCAAATGACTGCACTTCTTTAATGCATTGTGTGATCACGTCCGCTGATTTACCATAGGAATGATGAACTGGAGATTTTGCACGCCAAGAATAAGCTTTACCAATTTGGTTGCTCTGAGTCTGTGCATCACAAACTCAGTTTCCAATTCTTTCATTTCCAGTGTCGCTATGGGTACCAACTGCATGTTTTTACTAACACGGATAGCTTGCAAAGCCAATTAATGTCGAGTTCATCGACTTCGTATTAAAACTTTTGCCCCTCACTGAATAGGAACGTAAATTTAAGAAAAGCGTGTAACTAGATATTTACCTTGTCGGACTGGGTCAGCCAAATCATTATCAGGGCAAAAGGGTAAAACAGACATTTCGGACACTCACTGGGTCGCAGCGACAAATATAACCACCGGGGCATTCGTTGATTTCGGTAAATATTTGCAATACTGAAAATTCCTTCCACTTGTCTGCTAACTTAGCCAACCGAAATCAATTCAGCCATGCTCAAATCGAGTTCTCCTTAGTTCTGTCTCGATAACTTAATGTGTGACAGTCGTTGGGGCACCAAGTGGACCAAGTCGGGTACGGTGAAAGAACTGCCCCCTCCTTCCAAAGGATTAACTACTGAGCTGGTGAAATCTCGGCAAGGTTAAATTTGCAAATCAAGTGTTCCTGTTGGCGGAATCGTGGTTTGTACAACTAAATAAATCTGGTCAAGTTAATTAGAGGTTTTGGTTACTAGATTCCTCAAGTCTCCAATTTACTTCATTTCTATGTCAGTAACTCTTAGTTAACAGTATTCATAAATGGACTAGAATGATTTCGTGGGTCATTCCATACGGTTGATTGTGACAAGGCTCGGAGGCTAATCGAATCTAGCGTTAAGCTACATTCGTTCTTTCATTACAGCGATTACACACGCAGTGCTTAAACAACCTGAACGCCTGAAAATGAAGCCAAAATTATAGGTACAGAGAACCTATCCATTTAAAATCACAGTGACTGGATCTTTGCACCGTGATATTTTCATTTGTTTTTCTACTTTTGGCTTGTACCATAACCTTTATTCTCCTTACTGCACACACATACATTTGCGTCTACCCGGAGACCGTGACACACAAACATACACATGCACGCACGCATGCACGTGCTAGTTCACCCAGTTTGATTATCACTCACCGAACTACGTTGGTGATTGATCGAAGATCATTGGCGCTTGGTCGATTGTCGCTTGTTCTACAACAGTCAGCTNTGATTATCACTCACCGAACTACGTTGGTGATTGATCGAAGATCATTGGCGCTTGGTCGATTGTCGCTTGTTCTACAGACAGTCAGCTGACGAGTGTTGGCAATACACTCTTTCGCGACAAACCAAATCGGGGGATCTTAGATTGCCGGAACCATTTAGCCAACACATAATTCTAGTATGCGTACTGAGCATGTCTTTGGACGTCTAGTACCAGACTGTGTCCATTTAGATCCTTAATTTATTTTTTATTTGGGTCAAGTCAGTACCCAGGGCTGGTAAATTATTCTTAGGCATTCCATAACACATCTTCGAAGGTTAGATGTTCCAGTTTGTTTCGCATAGTTACCACATCGTTGATGGGTGCGTTAAATGGCACTTTGCAGGGTGGAAAATATCCCTGGAACCTGAGTTGGCTTATACTTGCATCCGACTTTGTCCCCTCTCTATCGACCATCCAGAGGCAACATTTGGACCGTGTGCAGATACCGGATGTTAGCATAAGATAGTAGTCATACCAATTCCTTTTATGCACACGGTTTCCAATCTTTTACCGTAGATTGTATCCTTCAGGCAAAATCCAAGTCCGTATACTCCAAATCATCGTGGCGAAAATAAAACAAAATTGAAAATGCCGAGTTAAAATAAACCGCTCGCCGTAACTGTGTTCATCTTCTATCTGGTACTATTTTTGCATCCTGAGATAAGTTTGATTTTTGGTTCGAACACCCTTTGAGAAACAACTCTACATACATTCTCGCTATCAATTGTCCCGAACATAAGTCTCGGCGCCTCCGTTGCAGTTTTTTGCTCTTGTGGGAAGCCCCACTTGTCCATTGCGTTCTCCTATGACGAGGGCATACATGTTTGACTGCCTGGGGACAACACATTAAGACTTGGAGTGCGTTATACTTGCTGAGAAATATTGATTACAAAGTCTAACAGTTTTCTGGAATAAAAATTAATAATAAAATAAATAAATAAAAAATAAAAAAAATAAATTAAATAAAATAATAAATAATAAATTAATAAAATAAAAATAAAAATTAATAATAGTGGACAGCTAGTCACACTAGTTTGTTGGTTAGGGACCCGATGAGAATCCATTCGGAATCGCTTTTGACAGTAGTATCTTACAAACAAGTTTGAGAATGTCCTGAACTAAATAGTATAAAGCCCTGGGTGTCTACAGAGAAAAGTCTATTAAATGACAACCACACCTTGTTTTGACCTCCAGTAATATTTAGGGAAAAGGTGGGTGGCAAGATTTCTTTGTTATTCTATCGTCTGTTTCCACTTATTTCTACTATTTTTGCTTTTCGGATATCATTAGTTCCTCGCTTACTGTTCCACCAAAGGCTCTTTTTCTAAATTTAGAGCGAGCCCTATCAGCTGCAGAAACAGACCTTTGGACAAAGTGGGGAAAACCCAGAAAGTCTACTCTTTGTTCCCCTAGTGGTTCCTCTTACGGCGTCTTGTAATCGGCGAGCACTGCTAGTGAATCTCCCCTGATTTCCAGTTAATTCGTCATCCTGTTTGATTGCTATTCCACTAACGCACAGTTCATTGTAGCGGCTTTCGAACGACCTGATGGTAAACGCAAATGTGATGCTTTGTGACCGCAAATCTTTCACGTGCACCATACGCATCTGTGTAATATTATTTAAGTCAGGCAGGCTAATTTATCTCCGGCTCTATTCAACAAAGCACTCAATTATTCAGGCATGTAACCTAGTTAGCGCTGTACCGTATGATTCTGCTTAGCCGTTTTTATTGCCTAAACTTGTAGAGGGATAACGCACCGCGCCCACTTTATGCAGCAGGTGGATAGCCAAAGCATAATGACTGCTTTTTAGGGTGGAGTACAGCTGCACGATTGTATGAACATACCACCCATGATGAATTAAACCAACGGTATTATTCAGGATGTTCGAGTGAACTGTAATCGCATCCACTAAGGCTTTTCAACGTCTTTCTTATGTAAGTTTACCACGTGGTGCGGCAGTTCGAACTGTAAGTTCTGGTAAGATTCATGCGCCGTGATTGGACGAAGCCCAAGAGCTAATATTTTGTGAACTACCACGAATTACTGTGTAAACGAGAATGACTGTTTCCAGGTTAAAAACGGCCGCTTTGAAATCGGGAAGAAAAAACAGTTCTTGACGTAGTTGCACTAACCTGAATCGTTGCATAGTACTCGGGTTCCGTGGAGTAATATGCAGTGGGAGTAGTATAGAAACGGCGCTTAAAACTTGAAAGTTTGTAACCAAATTTTTGCTGCCACACTTCTGATATGGCTTTTGACGATGAGGTAATGCTTTGACTGCATCTAAACATGTTCTAGTGTCATAGAACTACTCCAGCTCAATTGCTTAGGTGGGACTTGAGAGAAAGCCTCCGGAAGTTTTGACAGTTGGACAGTAGGGATGTAGCAAAAGTTTCCTGTGAATCGAATAAGACCAGGAATTTGTCGCTTGCCTGGTTGAAGGGACTCGGGACAGCTCAGGAACCGAAGCCACTCTCCAGGGTGTCGCGACCACAAGGTGGTTAGTTAAATCCAGCCTCTTAGTTTCTCAAGTTAAGAGATGACCTCGTGGTAGTTTGTCCCATAAGATATGAACTATTTAAGTTAACCAAAGCCAACTACCAATTCTTTGCAATTGGAACTTCAAGTCAAACGCTTCGATCAAGATCCTGATTGCCTTGTTACCCAGGATGGGGTACCAGGCTAGTAACCGTGCAAATAAGCGTTACGCCAGTGCTCTGTCGCCTGTCACTTGATGCCATCCGCCTGGACGGAATGCAAAAACAAACTGCTGTTTCTGGTCCTTTTTTGTTTCTGTCTAAAGAACACCTTTTTGTGCGACAGCTACCAGTGCTCTGGTATCGTCTGTAATAAAAACAAGAACTAAGATGTTGTACTTTGACAAGATGAGAAGTATACTGCCGATATTTCTTCTTGAAGGAGAGTTGATAAAATGCCTTTCAGCTTTTGACACTGCTACTAATTTTGGCCTACCCACTTCGTGTGCCAAATGTAGATACATTTTAATAAGTATCGTAAAATTTTAACTCTAATGTTCTAATTTCCGCAATATTATAATGTAAATATTCTTGTACAAGTGCCTCAGATTTACTTACTACTTTTGCAAACCTTATTCCATCCTTGTCTGTCAAGTTAAATCGACTGACGAGGGAATTTAAACATGAAATTGAGAGATCACGTGAGCTGTTTACTACCGGAGAATCCTCTCCCACAGCACTACATTCAACTTGGTTGTTGGTCCGTTCGCCGAGCTTGAAAGTTGGATTGCAAACGTCTATTCACCAATCGAGGTGACATCGTCAGTGCAGGGTTGAGTGGGTGAATTCCTCCTCTTCTGTCTGTGATAATATAGCGCCTTAACAGTATCTGGTAGTTCTAAAAGCGGTCTTCGGGTAGTTGATTGGCCTCCTGTGGATCTGACGTGGTCTCAATCTCCTGTGTCACCTCGATTGGTGATGAAGCGCTTGCAATCCAACTGCTAAGCTCGGCGAACAGACCAACATCCAAGCAGCGCACCCGAGCTACCTACAATCCACAACATTGCCACTACATTCAACATACACTAAAAGTGCACGCCTCTTGTGCAATTTAGGGTACACAATACCGCCACTTTGCAGATCCCAGATACCGTTTTCATCATGTCCGCACGACTGACCACTGGGCACTTTGATAACTGGAATTGTGCAAGATCCCTTAAATAAGTAAGTACTGAGGCAAGTAGACACGATTTACTTCAAGCTTTTGGCAACAAGACTGAATTTGGATTTGAATAAAACCCAATCGGAAAGTTCTTACTTACAAGAGTGCTCTACGGAGCCCAGCTTTTTGCGTGATAAGTACCTGGAGGGTATTTCATAAAGGAAGCTACTCACTAGGTTGCTGAAAACTCTTCGACAGCCTACGACCGGTTTCTCCCTTGTTGGGGTTCATCAGGTAGACGCAACCTTGTGAGTAGTTTCCTTCATGAAAATATACTGCGATATCTCGAATATCGTGCCGACTGAAACATGAGGCGGCCTGTGTGCAGCACATTCAGTTGTAGAATATCATAAACGAGAGATTCATTTGAGTCTCTTGTGAAAACCCAATTGATTTGCAAATTATCGTTTGCCTGTTTAATTAGCCGCAATGAAGGACTGACCTGGAGATCAGCGTTTTCGGCACAATTTGTCGCTTGTTCATGACAGGGCAGGTGAGTTTCAATGCAATATTGGTTGTTTTCAACGAAAAAATGAATTCCAAATAAAATGGAACATAACGACCCACTTGAGGACTGTTTGCAACCCCCAGAAAGTGCCTCCCCGATAGCAAGGGGATCACTGGTACAGAGAAAGCGACAGGTTTGATCAAACAATTTATCATGTGTAAATAACATATGGTACGAGATGTAACCGCGTTAAAGTATTTTTAATACCGTGTGAGATAAAAGTGCAATGTGCTTTTTCTTGGGTTAGCACGTGCCTCGAAACTTTTGCAAGGCTGACTTCTAGGGGATGGTAGGAATTATACGTGACGCCTTCGTGATCCTCAAGAGGGGATCGGATAATTACAGTGTCACGGGCTTGATGTTTTTAGAAGAACCAACTATATAGGAGAAGTGATGCGGCTAGAATGGACCAAGTCTGCGCTGTAATTACAGTGTACATCGACTAGTTTTTACAAAGCAAGACGGAATTACTTACGAGTGCTAAGTTCCCTGGCGAATTAAGATCACTGAATTTACATTGGCATCTACAGTCGTCTGCAGTTATCCTGCTTTAAATCGTGTTGTAGTTGAAAACAAATGTTTCTCTTGGCTTGGGGTCACAAGCTACCGAGTAAATCACTCCTGTCCTGGCACGGTTGCCTTCAATGCGAAACTTATGACCATAAAGACGTCTAGGGACTGTAAAACTGTTTCCAGTAACTGGTATTTGACGGCTATTAACAACAACAACAACAAGGGCACTTATTACTTAGACGAAGGTTGGTCACGGTAAGTTTTTCGTTAGAAATTCGGGGTTACTTCGGCCCAGCTGGGGCATACTAGGGTCAAACCATTCAAGTGACTCATTTTTTTCACTGTCTATTGCATGTTGAACATCTGTTATTAGATACACTCTCCTCGATGGATAAATTTTGTTGGATATATTTTACCCGAAATATAGTTCTTTAACACTAAGTTGGTCCATGGTTCGAACCCGACCTCTGTCTCTCGACTTCCTCTGTTCAGGTTTGGGCGACCTGGCAGTATCCCAGCCCTCGTGCCTCCTTCGTGTGGCATGGCAGCTAGGCTTCGAAAGGGTGCCACAGCTTAACGACTAATACTAATACCCTAACACTAGGTTGATTTAGTCTTTACAAAAGTACGAATATTCTTGACGAGGACCAACTATCCCATTATCCATACACCGATGTTTTCCATCTAGACGGTGTTTTTTCGTCTTTTATTTTTGTTCGTTATGCAACCCAGCCATTTGAGTATAGCATTTATTCTTGTCTTTGATCTCCAGATTGGCGCCTTTTGCCCATTAGAAATCCGCTTGATTGACTTATAAGCTCCAGAGATCCAATCAGACTTTGTTTGATTCTCACGAACTGTGTGCCTGCAACCTTGTACTAGTGAGGCAGTCTGTGATGTCCGTTGAGTGATGATGAGCTAAACATACATGCTCGGAAGCAGTGACCATATGATGACTTTGAGATTGCCCACGAATGCTAAGGCATGCTGTAAGCATAACCAGGCCTGGGCAGCACTCACCTTAACAGACAGACACACGGATGTAGAGTATTCAAGGTAACCCTAAATGTTTCATTTTTAGAATAGGTCATATGTTGCCACAATAACGAAAATTAGCCTTACCTGAGTTCGATGGGCATTTTCTTTACGGCAGCTGACTCTCACTCGCAGCTTGCTTGTTTTTGCATTCCGGGTAAAGGTAATGCGTGTGCCCAATCGATATCTAGGTTATAGGATGAAGAAAATTACTACCAAGCACATGACACGTTCCGTCGCCGTTTCCTGCCGGCCTGTTAGGTGTAACAGTTCGATTCATAGCATTTGTGTGTAAAATGAGATTAGTACGGGACTGAAACATTTGCATAACACTGGGTGTTAGTCAGATGGACGTTGATCTGTACGCCGAGTCTGGAGTTCAAACGTTTCATCCTCATTCGAAGAGACATTTTCAGCGTGCGGTTGAGTGGGACTCCTCGACTGGGGACGAAACGTTTGCAAGCCAAATGCAAACCTCGTGGAACAGATCAATGGTCATCTGATCAACCACCAGCAAACGCACTCCAGCTACCCAAATTCGACACAATGACACCATACACATAACAGAATTAGCGCACTGACTTCGGTCAAGACTTGTTAACTTACGCTTCAAGCCAGCTTGACAAGGCTTGGTATGGGCCTGGAGGTGGGGTTTGACACCTATGGCATGCTGTCACTAAATTATTCGATGGGCTAACATAATATGACAGTGGTTCCACTGTTTGGTTGTCCATCTTTTGCTAGGACCTTAGTGAGACCAGTGGTCTGTGATTGCTACATTTAAAGGTCAGCTATGACTTCAATGCGTTTAGCACTGATTGCTTTCAGATCAAGCCAGTGTAGCTCAAACTGACAGGGAAATGATTTCCTATCTCTGGAAAGTGAGAGATATGAGCTCACTCACACAAGGCTCTAGAACGACTGTCCAATCAGTCGTGAAGTTGCGTTCAAAGGCATTTGAGATTTGAATCTGCATGCTATGCTGAAAGGTCAGCGAAATCGTTTCTCCAGCAAGAATCTACCGGTGATTTGCCAACCAAATCAAATTCTTAATTAGACGGTCATGGTAAGACCACTAATCTCAGGGCACAGGCATGAGAAATTCCGAATAACATTTAAGGTGCGCCTTGGGTCGTTCGTCTCTCCTTATGGAGATTTATATGTTCACCGGTGAATGCGGTGTGTTTAATAGAATCAGATGTTTGTCATGTGTTTGTGGGCAACTCATCTTGCAGTGGGAGATGAAAGGGGTGTTCAGTGATATCTTCAGCGAAGGAATTTATCTAATCCACATTGCTATTGCGAGCGTAAAAACCCCAGAAAACTCTAGTGACTAGAAAAGCACCGTTGTTCATAGTCTAGTGAACATGCTAACATGGGATTCCTACCTGTTTTTCTCATAATCGGTCTGGACAAGTGGTTTTGAGGGAGCACATCCGATCATTCGTTTTTCGTGCCATTTTAGAAGTGGTTTCGACAAATTGAGAAATATTTTTCTATACTTTATTCAAATGACCTTTCCAAGAATCAAAGTTTCGCTGTGTTATCCGTCCAGGTATAAAAGCCTTCCAACAGTCTCAATTTCACGTCGTGCTGGGGGCTGAACACAAACAAAGAAACATGCAATACAAACAAGATTTGGTGGAATGAAGTATCCGTGAAAGAAGACTGAATCAGGTGAAGGATGCTGTACCGTCTGACAAATGGAAATATCTGGAATTTGTTCGGCAGAGGGAGAATAGAGGGCATAAGTGACCATGTAATCGGCGCCAATGTAAGCAAAAGAGTGCAACTTTTAGAGAAATCACAAAATTGGGACGGAGTAAATATATAGTGATCAACTGAGAAAGAATGCCTCGTAAAACTAAGTTGTCCGAAGGGCACACAGGACACTCCGATTACCCTATACTGTAGAACAGTATATATCCATCTCCAGTAGTATATACACATAAAAGTGCCATCATTCACATCGACAGGGTACGTCAGTAGCGAACACCGGTGCACAACTGCTTCACAATCTGGGCTACAGTGTACCATGGTGAAGGGCAGAACAAAAAGGGGAGTGTTGTGATCATCATCAGTGACCATCAGTGGAATGACCATCATCCTCAGGCGCCAAAAAAACACCTACCGTAAACCACTGCTGGCGCACAAAATGTTGGTGGTTAAAAGCTAACTCCGCTCAAAAATTTCTTTTCTTTTTGTGTGGCGATGGGTTCAAGATATCAAAGAGATAAGCGTGCCAAGGTATCATATTTGGACGAGAAATCATTATTTTAATCGACCTGGTGCAGACTTCACTCAACAAGTGCCAGACACACTGTGGCGGATGAATCTTGGCTAGATACTTTGGCCAGGATATGGCAGTATGCTTCTTTCTGGGAGAGATTATGCGCGATGTCTTAAATGAATTGAAACTACGTGTGATAAGTGCCACATGGGCCTAAGGATGATTAACAGCACTCATTATGATAGTAGGTGCCTTCATTTCACTTCGTATCGTAGCCCGCTCCGTTAACAATGAAAACAAAAGTTCCCAGCAGAAATCAGTCATAGCTTTGGTAGACGGCGTTTTGGCTTGCGCATTACATATTCCAACCACCATTAGCCGATCAGGTTTATCAATTGTTCTGACGAATCCGACTGGGCACTATTTCGTTGTAATTATGCTTTACTCAGAAATCACCTGCTTTCATGCGAAGGAATCGACAACCGAAGGTCTGAAAATGTTTAGGGTCCTCGGATCGCATGGTGCCAAGTCATGCGAACATCTAAGAAGTCGTTGCTCAAGGAGCCAGTCAACACGCGTGACCACGTGACGTGGATCCCATGATTGAAGGACGAGCGGCATTATAACCTGCCTAAGTGCAAGTTGATCACACTGCTGATCAGCCGCTCGTGGCTAAACGGTTAAGGGTTTATAGTACCAGCCAGGAGGTCGCGGGTTCGAGACTCTACAAAGTTTTGCGAGATGCGCACTGCTGATGGTTCCCACTAAGGATGAAACTGCTCCACACTGCTCACTGGTTTTTCAGAATAGATTAACTTCACTCACGCGACGAAATCTCCACAGAAATAAAGTAAGGCTACTTTACAGCGGCATCTCGTCCGTATGCTTCAGCCAGCTTGGTTTGCGAAGATTCGAACGGCATTTATACCGTACCTTCGATGGCTTTTGTCTACGGTTAACTCAGTTGTCCGTAGTCAGCGAAAGAGTACATCTGGTTGTGATATTGTTTACGTAATGGCAAGACCACTGTGTACTACATATTAACAAAACGGACACATTCCTGATGGGCTCAAGACAGTCAAAGTTATGAAGTACGACAGGCTAATCGCGGGGAGATGGTTGTGCCTCCAACACCCTACTTATCAGATAACTCCACTGTAGGCTTGGGGACCATTGTAGTATTCCATTCTTAGCTATTGATCAAGACTATCAAAACTGGACGACTTAAATTGGTGCAACGGAATGTAACAAAACCAATCGTACATTTTCTGCGAATTTTAAGCAGTTATTCTGAGACCACTGCATAGTTTTCTATATACATATAAGATGCATTCAACCGTGCATTGATAATCATTTCATTTCTTCGTCTTAGTTGCGTTGTGAGCTTTTTCATACACCCAAATTCTATTTTCTGAATGCTCCACCCAGTCTATCCACTTGGGTCAATATTTTAGTATGCAGCAGGTTTCGAGCTTGGTTCGGAGCGTTGATCGCTTTGTTGTTGAATCAGAGGTGATTGTACGTCACTCATCTAGAAAAAAAAGCCTAGTGAGCATTTTTATTCAAAGAGGCTGGTGAAATATGGGTTGTTTTTCACAAATATTGCTGTGTGTCACACTTGCGGGAAGCGAGTAACTCTCGCCGACAGGCCTTTGGAAGTCCGGAGTGGTCCGCCTTTTTTAAGTTCAAAATGAGTTCGAGAACTTTTGATTACAGTAACGTTCCGACCCCCATCCTGAACATAGACTGCCAAGTCAGTACTGGTTCGATTTCAGACTGAAAATAACGACTAAACTTGGGTTTACTTGCGTGTTTCGTTTTGATACCTGCATTCGGCAGACAGAATGCAGCGTGTGAAACTAGGTAGAATGAAGCAATCGGCCTCATGAGGTTAACTGGGCTCAGACTTCAGTTCCACTGCAGGTGATAGTCGCGACATGTTCGCATAAAATATGACTGTCGGTGGGAGTAANGTTCACTAGCAAAGATAATGTAGATAATGCTTTTAAGCCCTTAAATCTTTACCATAGCCCTGAAAATTTACATTAAAAAGGCTTTGGACTTCATCCTCCGCTGAATACAGAGCATAACATTCACACTCTCGGTGACTTTTTTCTTGAGAATCCACGCTTTTGAGTTCGCGTACAAAATGTGTAAATGTGTAAATATTCGGTTGAACGCATCATTCATTCACTTCAAACGCACTGCAGTATTTATTCTCTATAGGCGAATCAATAAACTTGCATCATAAATGCAAGATTAAGTTTTATCGGGGTATTTCATCGGTCGATTAGAGAGTTCATGCAAAGTCAAAATTGATCCATATGGACCGGACAAGAGAGACTTGAGCACGTCCATATTGCCTTCAACTCAGTCACGGCCTCATATCTTTGAGCTGTGTGGTTTGAAGAGGCTTGCGACAGCTGGAAAAGCACCGTATCACTGCTACTGATTAAAGTCAGTCAGTCATCAGTTTTGATGAAAATATGCTATCTCATCCCATTTTTACGCATTAACTTTGGGGCACCGGTCTTCGTGTTGTAGAAGCCCTATCTCCTTCCAAATGAATGCACTAAACTAGACTTTATAAGTAATGTTCTGACGGGGCATAGGCTTATTACGGAAATTTCCGGTCAGCTGCATCTCAGAGGAACACCATTCTTTTAGCATTCACTACCGTGATTATCACAGCTTTTGCAACTTTAATGAAAGATCGCGGTATCGAGAAAACTCATCTACTCTTACATTCACCAGATTTTTGATCACTTTGATCGAGGTTCCAGTGTACAATAACTGACAATACTGTGTGATCTAATGCTTTCGTTGGCTTGCTATTCGTTTGTTCGCTTGAGTGATTATGGTTGCAGAGTGATACCTTGCTCATAGCCTGACGATTGGTAGCCTTAAAGCACTACAGTTTTAAAATCAGATGTATGGAAGAGTTGACTATGTCAAGCTGTGCCCGGTGTTCGTTGTTAGCAACATTGCAGCTTTGTCCAATGTTGAACACTTGTCACAGTGGTTCTCCGTTCACAGCGATGATGCTTGAGATTTTGTGCAAGCACTTAATATCAGAACTGCGGACTGAAATGCACAACCAGCCGATCCGTTAAAGGTGTGATATCGTATATTCTTGAGTCATTCCACGGGCTGACGAGGAATTCTCACGATACCTATTGAAGCTTTTGTCCTACTTCAAACAGAAAACACTGCCAGTGTTGAAAGGTCAACGCCCTTTCTACTACGGAAACAAATTTTTAAATGTATCTCATTCCCCCAGTCTAGTCCGATGTCATTTAGTAGTTGGGAAATCACTGTTTGCGAACTGTGCGTGTAACTCCTAAACATGTTTTGGCATGAACTTCCCAAGGAGGCCTCAAGGCACTTCATGTTTAAGAACCCATTTGGCTCCTCAAAATGTTCGGCTGTAGGTGGTTCCTAGAACGGAGTTCGGTACAAACCTCAAGCTGTCACTAGTATACTTCCGGTGTCAGCGAAACATCGTTGTGACCACAATGCTGGGTCGAGTTTCTGTTGTTTCGTCTTCGTCACGGACATATGGCTACTCTTGTAAAGTTAAATCCTAGTTCAAACGTCATTTGTGCTTCGATCGCTTGATGACAGATCAGGTATGCAAAGTTTGAAGTAGCAAAAAACAAGGTTGTGCTGATGAGACAAAACAAAGCAACTTGATGTAAGGCCCGTAGCTTTAACTGTAGCTTTGACCTACGAGCCAATGTTGAATAGACAGAATAATTGCACTATGGCGAAGCGAGGGAGTCAGTTACCATTTTGCGAGTCGCTCTGATTACTTATATAAACGATCGTCGAAACCCGACGGAATTTGATGATGTTCTTCAAACAGAAGCTTTCTGTTTCGACGTATTAGTCTATTTTTACGACAAAACAACATAGGGTTAACACGTGAGCAGAGTGGTTGGTTTTCTCCATATAGAACATAAGCATCTCTCAATTGATTGCTTTTCTTTACCAGCCAAGGAGTTTCTCGGTTGAAGTGACGCTGTTTGGTGAGTGAGGCTTTCTCGGGGATAAGATTACCATCACTGGCCCGCGCTTTAGGGATTTTCTGAACTTTTCAGCTTGAGCAATAGAGCTGTCCTGTTCCTTGTGGGTCTCATGTAGGAGCCTTCCAAGAGTCGAAGTTTGAACGATGCAAACAGATGTGAGAGAATATACGCTGCTTTGGCATGGATCAGCCCTTTGTTCTCGATGAGGTCATTCTGAAAACATTATGCTTTTTGGAGGGAAATGGCTCTATGTAGTACACTTAGCAGATATTTTTAGTGGCTTGGATACAATGAAGTTGCTTTTTGGATGACTCCATAGGAAGCCTTTTTTGGAGAGCAATTTTTAGAGTACTGATTGTATCCTAGAGTCAGGTAAGTAGATTTTCAGACAGTATATGAAGAAATGTAGATATAGTCAGTAACTCAGTTAAGCTACTGAAAAAAACACCTACAAAGGGCTACACTAAGTTTCGACGAATCATAGTAAAAACTCATTCGTGGACGCGTTACACAATTTTCATTGGCCGAACGGTAAGCGCAAAGAGGTCGATCAGTAAGCGATCGGTCTGTTTGATACAATCAAATTTGTTGGTGTTTGGCTGCCCGATGGACTTCCCAAGGCTGCTGTAAGCGGATTATTCAACGTGACTACGCAAAACACGCGGTAACCATGGCCACAGGTACAGTCATGATAACACTGATTCTTCTGTCACTTTCGTTCCTCACACTGTTAGCCCTCCTGGGTAACATACTTGTTGTGATTTCTGTACGACGTTTCCCGCGGTTACGTTCTCAATTCTGTTTCCACATTCTATCCGGATTGGCTGCGGCGGATATCTGTGTATCCGTATTTGTGATGCCATGGTCTATGGTTTATCTTGTGCTCGAATACTGGCCATTTGGTTTGGTCCTGTGCAATATGTGGATGTCGTCTGACGTGATGTGCTGTACCGCGTCCATTTTACATTTGTGTCTTGTTGCTTTCGACCGATATCTTGCTATTGCCTATCCGCTGCGTTATGGGATCCTCGTGACGAAAACGAGGATTCGTGTCTCCATGGTTGTGATATGGCTGACCAGTGCAGCCATATCGTTTTTTCCAATCCATCTTGGGTGGTTTCACGTACATACCAATAGTTCATCTGATAATCACACAGTCATTAACTTTCGCGATACAGGTCCACCATTGTGTGAACTTGAAGTTAACGCTATTTACGCAGTTGTTTCATCATCCACATCATTCTACGTCCCCTTTGTGGTTTGTGTGACATTGTACAGTCGTATATTATACATTGCACATCAACAGTTTAGGCAAGTGAGGAAAATACGAGTGCCTTCATTTCGAGATCCTCGAATAAAATTTTCAAGTGTCGGGCAGGGAGGCACTAGCGGACAAACGGACACCATGGCGATGGAAAAAAACAAGGCCCAAGAAGAGTCAAAACAGACAACTTGGACAGCGGAATTACGAAGACAGCCTAATAAGAATCGTCATGGACTATTGGTACACAGTGTACTCTCTCGTTTATCAGTAACTGATGGCATCAGTATGAGAATTATCCGAACTCGACGCGCCACGAGTAGTCCCTCAATAGAATTGAAACGAACGCGTAAGGAAACGGCGTCCGTCCACAAAACTGAGTTGAAGGCCATCAAAACAATAGGGCTTCTGTTGGGGTTCTTCAGCTTGTGTTGGCTACCATTCTTCGTAGCTTATCTGGTGCAAGCATTCTGTACGGTGTCTTGTAAAATACCACATCGTCTTACAACATTCCTCACATGGATCGGTTACGCAAATAGTGCCGTGAACCCTGTTCTCTACGGATTCCTACAACGCGACTTTCGAGCGGCATTCTGCACTCTGATTCATAGACCGGTGCTTCAGTACGAAGTTCCGAATCTTAAAACCAAACTTGGAAAGTTTTGTGTTGGTGACTCTAACCTGAACCATTCGGCACCTGCTTGGGCTGGGGATTACGAACTGAACCAGAAACCAATGACTCTTGAACCCATACGAATTCAACTCAGCGGAGAGGAAAGTAGAGAAATACACACGAAAGGATAGACGAATTAAAAGATCGGGCATCAAATTGCTCCATGAGGATCAATCAACTCACGCCAAACGTGAATCAGATTCTATTAGACCAGCTTGTAAATGTCACAACACCCAGTTTTTGTCACCGCACTGATGCAGTCGGAAAACTTATCAGGTAAACGACTTTTTTCGTGTGTTGCGCAAGACAGAAGCCTGGTTTTCCATGACTGCGATTGTACTAAATGGAATGTTGCGTAATCGTAACATGGAGTGAGTAACCACCAATATTTTTTCGGGGTTATTCTTCATCTTGATGTGTCTACATGCAGTTATCTGAGCCAGCCTACAATCTGTACAAAATATGAGTGTTTTTTTCAAAACAGGCGTGTCAGTTGATGAGTTAATAGTCTGGTGTGCTCTGACAGAGTTTCAGGGGGTGCAGTTGAGAAGAGCATCCGGAATGGTGGAACTCCATCCGCAACAGTTTTTTTATTATCGTACCCGTGATAAGCCGTGGGTAAATTAACTAAGAATTTTACATTCCAAGGAGCCTGAAAAAAGCATCCACCATTAAATATGGCAAAAAATGTGCACAAAAGTACACGATTACTTTTTGCTTGGAGTTCCCAAGACCGTCAAATTAGGGACGTTGCCAACATAATTTGTGAAAAAGCATGCGTACAATCGAGAGAAGGCTAAGTTATTCCCAGAGGCAATCATACCTGTTGCTTGGACACTGCTCAGCTCAGTTAAAAGGAAATTAAAACAATAAAAACGGTAATTGTTCAATACCAAACACGTAAGTTATCAGAAATAGAACGAATAGCGTCGGTCAAAGGCAGTAGTCTCACTAAAATGAGGGCTACCTCGAACTTGGCCCAGGTCCTTTTTTTCCTTGCGTGGAAACTTAATTGACCGATACGCAAAAGCAGGGAAAACTGGTGTTCCAGCCGAGATTTCGGATCAACAGTTTAGCTGCTTGCAGCTGGTCACATTTGGCAGACGAGACATTAGACAGACAAGCAATTGAAAGAAACGACAAAATGAATCCGGCGTAAGTTAGTTCTCGGCTGAGAGTCACATCTGTTGCGGGAAAATTCAAACTCTAGCTCTGCTGAATTATGTGGGTTACCAATATATTTCTAGCGCGACAGGTGTCGCCGTCCGTCTTGTATAACTCTTTTAGGGTATGTTCCAAATGGCGTCTATTACATCAGCGTATTCGTCCAAGCACAAATCAGTTGCAAGACGATGAAGTACAGCCTTGAGGCTATGGTATTTGTGTGGGACTTTAACTTGCTCACCACGTGAATGGCCACATTTTGCGGACCATCTGTTCGTGGCGCCGATTAGACTATTACACAAAGTGGATCCAGTACGCTTCTACAATCCTAATAGGAGAGATTAATCCTAGTAGACCTTTTTACTCAATTCAGTGTAAACAGAAGAATTTTCCATCGGTACAATGTGACTCACCAGGCTCTCCTTCTGCCAATTTTATGAGCCGATTCGTTTCTGATTTCATTGGCTTCCTATTGGACGCACTACTGGGGAGCAAAAACTATAGTTTAGTTCATATTAAACTACGCTTTACCTGGAGCTTAATTTGAATGGATCGTGTCGTTTTTCGAAAAAAACATCATGTACCTAACTTGCTTGGTCAATGATTGGTTGCTCTGGAGTCGAATTTAAAATTAGTTGAGCCACGAATTACTTCGTCTAACCGCCTTATTTGGTTAATGGTGACGTGCTTCAAGTATCATGGTTGTCCGAATTTCTCCTAAACCAAAAGATGCAAATTCTTTTTTCTGAAGTACTGAATGCCAACGTCGGTAGGTTTGGTTCAGGAAAACACATCTCCACGAGGAAGGTTCCCTGAAAGGGGCAGGTATCAAATAAACGCACATTTTGCTTAACTTCAAACCATTGTTTGTTGCTTTCATCCAGCCTTGATAAGTTTGCCAGTATCTCATAATTCCACCAAAGACTCAGGTACATTCCACTTAGAATGGTCACAACCATATTTCAGAGTGCTCCCAGGATTTACAAATCTATCTCTTGTTTGGCTGAAGTGCTACCGCATTTGTGTAGTTAGGTTCAGAACCGTTTCTTCTGAAGCAGATCTTATGGCCGATAATTTGAGCTTGTTCACAACCCAGGATTTCATTGTTTCAGTTTTTCTTGCGCTAGAAACGTACAATTCCACCACCGAAGCATGCTTGTTGTTCCTGACACATTTAAACACGTAGATAGTACTGGATTCAAGGCTATCGGACATGAAGCCTTGGTTTGGAAACCCTCAGCTTCTCCGCCAAAAGGATGAAGTACCTGCCGTCTTTTTGAGCCACGGCAATCAGCCGTTTGAAGTAAAAATTAAGAGTATACGCATAATTGACTGTATGGAGTGAGATCGCGGCATAGGTAAGAGTGACCAGATGTTAACTACTCTAAAATTCTCCAAAATATAAAATTGCCTTAGGGCACGCTGGGTTGGGTATGTTGCATGCACACATGATTGCCACTGATCAGCGTGTATCAGTGGATGAAACGGAATGCTTCCAACAGACAAGAACTACCATCAGACGTGGATTGACTAGCATCGAAATGAGGAACTGCAGCAACTACTGGCGCATTAGCTGCTTAGCTTTCCAAGCAATTCCACATAGTTCTTCGTATTGGAAGCTGAAGAACGTATAAAGGACAAGCAAGCCACGCCATTCTTGAAAGCACACCTCCTGGGGAGACACTCCATCTGTAGTATTGCTTGAAAATTCAGAGACAGATTCTTGAAATATAGCGTCACATATTTCGCGGCTCTTCCTCTTTTTGGAAGATCTGGTAATGGACGGATTGAGTACTCAAGTTTTGAACGTGATGATCATCAATATGGCCCCATGCAGCCAGCACTCACCTCAGCCACGAATGCAAACTTTCCATGACAGAGACAAGTGCCACTGGTTGATGAGCTTCCACATTATGTATCATCTACCCGAGAAATCGTCCGTTATCTCACTTACCTAAGCGCATTCACAGTCTATATCGAACCACTGTGATCAACTGTGTCTCTGGCCTGTGGATGAATAAGCGTTATGCAGTTAGATTGCCCTCTGACCAGTAGACCCGCAATCACGAGGGTATGTTCCGTCGATCCGTTGAAAATGACAGTATATGGTAGCTGAGTTCACCTATGATCTCGCTGTTTACCTATGAGGGATTGAGTGTCATAAACAGTCCATAAGAATGTTGTTTATGTACTCCTTTGGTCAAACCCCACAAATATCTTCAGACATTGACTAGTCTCACAAACGAGTCCATTTGTGGAGTACAAAGATGAAAATCAAAACTAGGGTATCCGATACTCTTGGGCAAATTTTCTCAAGAACTGGTCTGCTTTAAGGAGAAAAACTTCGATAACAAGGAGGTGATATGCCCTTGGAGTTAACCGTTTCAAGATACCACGATCTGCTAAATGATCAGCCAGCGTGCATTCACTGTGTTCTTGATGAGCCATCTGAGATGCCAGCATGAAGGTAAACCACCGCAGTTTTGGACTCTTTCACTCACAATGAAGCAGATGCAGGATTTGGTACTCATTAGACATATTTTGGCTCTTGTGTTAATGTGTCTCAGCCATGAACAGTCATGGTTAGTTTTCGAGGTTACGGAATCTGCGTAAGAAAACGTTACACCGCGTACTCTTAACAATTCTCTGAAGCGGGCGGCTACAACCAGACTAGTCTTCTTTCGTGGTAGGATATGTGCTGTATAGTTCGAAAGAGAGGTTCCTCACGGGGAAACACTCCTGTTGGTAATATTTCTTCAAAGGATCTTCCTCGAATGGCACTGCATTCTTAAGCAAGATGTATATCGTTTATGCATATCGTCATATGCAGGTAGACCAAACCTACTTACATAGATGGTCTGTTTGTCTCAAAGACCCCAGCCAGTTGGGCAAACCAACGAATGCGTATCCTTTAAGGAACATTCTGATGGCTGTAGATACTGGAAAATACACCGCTGTTGGGAATCAGTGGCTACACATTTAATTAGTTCAACAGAAATATAGTCATCCACGCTGGCCCAATAGTTTGCAGCCACGAATAGTATAATTCAAGGCTCGAACAGTCAAACGCCAGAACTGTTGAATGAAAAGTGGGAACTAGCCAGCCTATCTACAGTAACCAATATCATCACCAACAAGCTTGATTTATCAAGATACGGTTTTCTTTAGGAAAACAGGCCCGGCTTTTAGCCACGCCGATGGTTAAACAAAAGCGTGGTAACTCGAGCTTTGAGGCTTCTTTTTATTTAGTGATTATGACACCAAAACAACCTTGTATTTTGCGAAATTTCTCTAATAACTTTCCCGTATTTAAACAACTCGCTAGAATATATTTTGTTTTATGCGCAGACATATACGGTAGTGCAACGTCACGGTGAGGTCATCTGGACACAACTATAATAACTCCCACTGGAAAGACCTGGCCTCTCCCTAGAGTAGACTTTTACGATAAAATTCAGCATCAAGTTTTATCTGAAGGAGGAGGGAGATATCTGTCTTCAGTATGATCGCTTCTGAGAGAACCCACTCTACTGGTACAATACCTTGATAAGAGGAGTATTATAACAACAGGTGTGACTGTGAGTTGCCTTGTGATATGACAAGTTGAAGGACCAAAGTATCAACGGGCTGGTGAGACTACGAAGCAATGTTATACTGGTGTCACATTCTTGGGCGAATTTTCTCACAACTTTATCTTCAGACCTTCATTCGAGTTCTTTTTGTCCTCCAAATGTCGGTTCAGTGTGCAACAGGCGTCACCTGGCATTGGGGACCAGGGTTTAGGTATAATAAGATTTGTAACTGAAGTTCTTAAAGTTTCTCTTCACGGACAATAGGTTCTGTTGTTTGTTTGTTCTCTTGCCCACAATTTCACACCATACATGTCCAGGTGAGAATCTGCAGGTTTTACCTTGTGAGTCGTGTGAACGACAATCCAGTCAGTATAATGTCACTTAAAAAGCGCGGGCTGGAGGTTGGATCTAATCGAGAATCGGGTGATTATCACGTTTAATTGGGACCGTTAGTTGCGTCAAAACATGTATTTTCAGTTAAAAATACCAAAACGGCAAAGTCGCCTAAGTAGGAAACTGTCCTAGGAGCCCAGAAAATGACAGTCACTATGAATTCCGCAGGAACTAGTGGCTATAGCGCTATCACTTTGGTTTTCCTTAATTTTCACGGAAGGTCTTGCTGCATAGTCACCCAGTTCATCAAAGCTATGGCTCTGCTGGAGTTTCACTCATACAAATCCAAAGTTTTCCATTAGCATCTTTTCTTCAATTCGTGGGGACTTGGTCCTTTTGAGATTCTTATAATTTATTCATTGCAAAACACTAAATATTTCCCTACCTCTGTCCTGTTCCGAAAACGGAATATTCTGTTAAATTATTCTAGCCCTCAGAGGGAGCATCATGGTTTGCGCAATCTGTTCTGTGTTTTCTTTTACTTCGGTGAAAACCCTACCGCCCAAAACATGTCATTTTCTTTCTCTGGCTACATTAACAGTTACAAACTGGTTCCGTGTATAAGGAGCCAGAGGAAATATCAGAAGCACTGTTATGCGTCATATGGGGTGGCCAAATTCAGGGACCAGAGGGCAAGTCTGATGCTGAATGACCTGTTGAATATCGTTTGGTTCCTACTGCACCATAAGTTCAAACTCGACGATCTGGTTACTTGCTGAAGCCATCTGCATGTACCGCTACAGCATCCATGCACTCACTGTTTTTTTCTTTACTAGGTTATGAGTAGAAACTTTATGGTGGACTGTACCTACGTGTTTTACCGATGAAATAACTCATACATCTGGAACTTCAAGCTTAGAAAGAGCAGTTTCGTTCTTATTGGGAATCGCCATCGGTGTGCACCTCAAAACTTCACGGAGCTTCGATTTCAAGACTGTCAGGTTAATAGTTTCAACACAAGCATTCCACCAAGAGTGGCTAGTCAGCAGTGTGAGCAACTCGCATGGGATCAGTACACCTCATTCTTCACTCCTGGAATCCACATCACTTTGTCATGTGCTACCTAGCTTCTTGAGTAAAGATTTCTCAAGTGTAAGTTTCACTCAAGGAGGCGCACATTGTTGATGATTCCCAATATGTGAAGTATCCATAAAATGCACCTCGGCCGTTAAGCGTAGGTCGCAATCACTTACAGGACAAACGATTAAATGAAAATTCCCGAGTCTTTTTGTACTACCATTATTGCGAGAACCGTTTCCGCAACGAAGCGCTCAGTTTGACCCTAAATGTCCAACGATTCACTGCTCTTTTCTCCCTTACTATTTGTGGAGAGCTTGCCTTTGAA